GATTCATCAAGATAATCGCATGAACAGAAATGGTGTCACTCAACTTATTGTCTCTAAACCTAGCCAAATGCTACCAGAAAGCTTCTACCAAGGATCTACATCACATCTACCTATCCAAAACCTATTGATTATGCCTACATCAAGCCATGGGATAAGATTTACATACTTGTGAAAATCGTGTGAACAGACCAATGAATTCTTCAAGTCAAGCTTCAAGAACCTTCAGATACCTTCAATGGAGTATGATCAAGCTTCTGTATGCAACAAATTTGATTGAAACCTTGTAGATCCTTGAACTCGATTCTGAGTTGCAGATGATGAATTCCAAGTGCCAATTCACAATTCTTCAGTGTTCTTGCTATGGATTCTATCTGGAATCATTCACCAATGCTTGTTTAAGGTTCTGAATGCAAAAGAAATGATTGAAAGTGATGGAATCGTGTAACAGAATTCTGTTTTGCAAATGGAATGTTGAAATTGCAAACTCTCAAATCTCTCCTAATTCTCACCAACCAGTGCATTGAATCAGTTCTAAACAATATATAGAGTGTGTTTGAAAGCTCTAGAACCTTCTGGATTGATCCAATGAGAAAATCAATATCTCATGTCATGGAAATTTCAACTCATGCTATCTCATATCAGTTCTTGCAGCAGCTTGCATTTCACCTTGCTTTGTATTCATTTTCTCCTTAGATGACATTTTGGATGTGTTGGAATGAGTTAGCACCTTGCATCTGATCTCATGTGTGAATTGGCAAATGTAACTTATACCATAAGCAACTAAATGCAAATCCATGATTTAGACCTAAAATGAGAAAAGTGATATTGCCATTGTCTTTAAAATACCATTTCTGATCAAAATGGTATATCACATGCCCCATTTTGGCCTTAGAATGAAAAATCACAAAATTGGTCTTTTTAATGAACTTTAATTCTTCCTTTTTTAGGCCATTTTTGCAATTTTGAGTTACAAGCAATTCCAAGCTCTCATGACAACTTGGTTGGACTCAAAACATAATTTTAAGCAAGTTTGATGTTGGACAATTTTCCATTTGAAGCTTACAAATTGGAGTTATGGACACATGATTCAAATGACCTATAATCTCACTTTCCCAAAATACCTCTGGCTTGTCAAGATCATAAATAGAGCTTCATAAAATATAATGAGGTGTTCTATAACTTTTTGGAAAGCTAAGATCATGAGGAACAACTTTCATGTTCATCAAAAATCCATTTGAAACCTTCTTGGAGGACAAAAGTTGCTTGGAAGTCAAGTCACTTTCACAGATAAATTTCAGTGTTCTCATATGACCTGTAACTTGCAAGGACCATAACTTGAGTTCTAAAAATCTTCTTTAAGACTTCCACAACTCAAATTAAAGGTATTGAGATGCTCTACAAGTACCATGTTGGCCAAAGGTTCATTTGAGACTTGTATTTTGATTTATATGGCTTGGAAGTTGGGCCTAAATCAGGGGATTTTACACTGAAACCCTAATTTGGCAACTCCTCTTATCCTTGATTCCTTTTGATTTATCCTTGGCACAACACCACACATATATCCACATATCAATTCATGAATTCCACAACCTCCAAGTAGGCCTTGATACCCTCCAATCAATCAATTGACCTAGGGTTGACCTAGATGAAACCCTAGCTGACTGCACTTCAACTGTGGCTTTTGTACTCAAACCAATGACTTGTCTCATCTTCAAAATGACCCTCTAGGTCTTCCGTGAGCTTTGTACACATTCCATACCCTCAATTCATGTCTCACACCCCTTTTAATGATTTTCAATAGACCAAGATAGGAGAGAAATCCACTGGTTGGCCTTCAAACTTCTCAAAGCTTCAATTCATTTCTTGATGACTTGGATAGTCTTGAGCTTGAATAAAAACCCCTTGAATATGCTTCTTTTGATAAGAATGACACTTGATCCCTTGCTAGATGGCTTGTTATGCTATGCTATGCAAATGATTAGACTATGTAAATGATTTACTATGCAAATGACAATGCAATTAAAACATAAACCAGGTGAAATATGTTGGGAAAATTTTAGGGTGCAACAATAATCTTAATGCTCAATTTACTATAATATCCCTAAAGTATTCGCTCCCCACAGTTACACCTACCCACAACAAACAGCTAGGTCTAGACCCATTTGAATTTCTCACATAATATGTACTCGATAAAACCAACTATTTTCTTCAATGAATTTCATTGATCTTGAACAATTTTTGTCTAAACTTCAAGAGTACCTATATTATGTTCATCATCTTTTCCTTCATTCATCCTCTTATGTCAGTCGAGTAAATAACATGTAAAATCAATGTTAAATAAAAGTCTCCACCCACTAATTTTTTCAAATTCAATATTGACAAGTCATACTTCAGTAATACACAATTTTCAACTTGTGAGAATCTCATTAAAAACTCTAAAGTATACATAACTTTCAACTTGTGAGAATCTCATTAAAAACTCTAATGGAATTTATGTTAATGGTTTTTCTAGTATTCTTGATTGATCAACCTGTATTTTGGACAAACTCTAAAGTTTAGTCCATAGTTTTAGAATAATAAATAGTTTGAGTTTTTCTTTCTTATTTGTTGATTCCCTTAGTGTGTTTAATATGATTATCTCTCGAAAAAATTATAATATTCGTATGCTTTCTCTTCTTTTTAAAGTGTTATCTTTCATCCATCGAACACACTATAAGTTTGATATTAAAGATATTTATCGAGAATTGTTTTGTATAGATATTGTCTTGTTTTAAGTATTGGCCACAATGTGTTTGGTTTGTAAACGTCTTGCCAATATCAGTCACAATGGTGAATTTAATTGGATAGAGTTTTCAATTCTTTTTCAATTTTTTAATCTTTTCCTCGTATTATTTATCAGCGGTTGTTTTTAAATTTATTTTTTAATTAAAAAAAATCATAAGGCAACGGTACTGAAAATAACGTCCAAACCATATACGCATGCAGCATGCGACCATGGCCGTTTTTAAGAACCTTGGCCGTCTTCATTATTAACTGCTATATATCACTAATCTTATATTCTTTTATGAAATAAAAGATTATTAATTGTTGAAAGAGTGATTAATTTAATTCTCACAAACCTATTCTAGATTTGAACATACTCCTCTATATAAAAAATACAAGTCACCTCCTTATCTACTATTACCAAAACTAACAATATTTGTTTAATTATTAATTAAAAGAGTATATTTCATCACAAAATATATCAAATGGTAGAACGGTGGAATTTTATATTTTAGTACGCAATCACGCAAGTACCTTGTTTTGCATATATGAAATATAATAATGATGGTAAATGCTGGCTTAAATGATTCTGAATTCTGATATGTTGAAATTGTGATAAGTATTATTAGTAATAAGAAAGTATGAGAAAAGTGGAAACGGTAAAGGGTTGAATGGACACGTTTATTTATTCTGTAAAGGGTTGTTGATATTATTATATAAGGAAAAGAGAATATATAAAGATTAGTTCCAAAAGCAAACGTTTGTTTTACTCTAGGGTTTTCAACTCAAGGTCACCGCGTATAACGAATAACGATATGAGTTGGATCAAAGTCTCATTCAAATCGACGCAGCCATTTGGAAGCAAGTATATTTGCTGACAAATTGTTGATAGGTTCGCATACTTGTCTAATAAGTCTAATCCTAAAGTTTTTATTTTAAAATTTGTAAGTTTGTGTCGGTAGAAAGATATTGTCATTATAGATTTTGTTTCTCTTTTTTTTTTACCTGATCAGAAGAGAATCACTAGTTGGTCACACTCTACCTGTTCACTTGTATTGAGAATGAGAAGGGAGTGTACCTGCAAGACACACCGATGTCAAAGTGAGAAATTGGACAGAGTGACAGCAAATACAGAAAGTGGTAGAAGAATTGAATATCTGACCCTCTTGTAGAAGAGGGTATTTATAGAGAGACTCCAACGCTGGGTCAACGGTCATTTGAGATGGGCTGGATGGTCAGGCCCAACCAAAAAGACTGCTAGGGCTTACGTGGCGTAGTAAAGACCAGAACGTGGTCTTCGCCCTAGTTCAACTGTCCCGTGATCTCCGGAAGGTGGGTTTGACCTGCTCTTTCGGAGGTGGGTAGTTGGTTGGTGACGTGTCCCCGCGGAGGGGGGCACGTGGAAAACGTGCGAGAGGCACGTTGCTTTGTCCGCTGACAGGAGGGTTCTGCCCGCGGAGGGATTTGTCTGCCCGACGGGGATCATGTGCTCGACAAAGGCTGCCCAAACCAGATTGGGCCTTGCCACACATTAATTGGCTGGGCTGCATGGTCAGATCGGGGCCCAGGCCAGAACACACACACACACACACATATATATATATATATATATATATATATATATATATATATATATATATATATATATATATATATATATATATATATATATATATATATATATATATATATATATATATATATATATATATATATATATATATATATATATATATATATATATATATATATATATATATATATATATATATATATATACACACACCAGTAATAACAGCGGATTCAGTACGTCTAAATTATTTTAGTGAGAGAGTATAGAAGGGAGGCAGAGCATATATAAAACTGTGTTATATTGAAAAATTGCATGCTTACAACAGAAAATAAAGCCCCCTTATATAGGGATACAAAGGCTTACTATTTAAGCCTGTAAAAACTACCTATGATAGCCGGTTACAACAAACAAATATGAATTATTAATGTCGGGTACACATTGGGCTCCATCGACTCAAAAATAATTCACAAGCAACAAAACTTTCTTACACAATAAAGTAAAAGCAGATTGCTTTTTCCAAGATAAGATTCTTATCTTTTTATTTGCTAACTTTTAAAATAAGATTCCTTCTTATCTTTGCATGCATTTGTCTTTAGAAAATTATTGTATTGTTCCTAGACAAGATAAGATTATCTTTTGTCTTTTCTCTTTGTCTTGAGATTCTTTATTTCTTTGCTTTGTCTTTTACTTTCTGAGCCATGGATTGAATCATCGCATCCCAGAAATCTTCAGAAGTGGGGTCATCCGCTTGGGCTTCTCCTGCTAAACAATCAAAGTTGTTGGAATCAATTGATCCCATAGAAGAGCTGATATTTATGGATGAACTCTCATCTTTTGATGTTTTAGTTGGAAAAGTGGAGAAAAATTGGTTATTCATATGATCCAGAGTTCTAACCATAATTTCCTCTTCTGATTCATTTGGATATTTTTTCTGAAAGAAGTTCTTTAAATTTCCCATAGACATTTGTTGGAAGCCTTACTCTTTGACTTTATTATTTTGGTCTTCAACTATAGCTGCTTGAATCAAGAACAATTTTATTCTGGATTTCTTCAGAACTCATCTTGTTCCACCATTTATAGAAGAAATTTCTTTCTAAAATGGGTATGTTGAATTTATTTCGAGATATGGTGATAGACCATCTCCATATCCATGGGATCTGAAATTTGGTAAAGAACCAAAATGGACATTGTCCTGTGATTAAATTATCAGATAAAATATTTATAATAAATGGACTATTATCAGACTAGAGATTGTATAATCAAGTAATTCTTTGGGTAATATTTTCAAAGACGGACCAAATTTAGTCTACCATTCGTAAAACCAATTTGGTATGGGTTTATTAATCATTTCTGGATTAATAGAGAAAAACCAAGAATGCTTGTTCTTAGGATTTTAGTAATAAAAAGCTTGAGTAAAAGCTTGGACATAGTCCCAGTAATTAAAGTAGATATACTTTCCTTCGGCAATCCTTATTGCCTTTTCACCATTTGGGTTAAGACCCCATTCTCTTGGTAACAAGATTTTATTAATATGACATTTACTGAAGTTCATAAAACTTTCAAGATTATTGTTCTGGTAGTGGTGAGTAATTGTTACCGATTCGGTAACAGTCAAAAGAATCTTTAGGTGAGGCCTAGATTTTCCATGACGACATGGATATCCTCTTGATTCGAGGTATCTGGTTTTGATAGACCGTCCATCATTTGGATTTATCTTAATATCTTCTTCATCAATGTACATGATTTTTTGAGTTATTGGATTTTCAAAATAATCCATTTGTTCTTGAGATGGGTTATTAACCGCAACTTCCTTGTAGGATGTATTTTTATTAGAAGAGGAGGAAACTATATCTTCCTTTTTTGATGAAGATGCAGGTAATTGCTGCATTTTTCTTCCTTTGTAAACTGTAGTCCAATCCTCTATTAGAGGAATGTTTGATTCTGGATGCGATAACATATTGTTACTCCCTCTACCACCACGGCTATAACCGCTGCCTCTCCCCCTATATGGGGTCATCATTCTTTCCCAGCAAAAATTCATGAGTTAAGTAGTCAGCAAGTGAATTATTCTCACCTTTAATGTGTTGAATGTCAAATTCAAACATAGATAATTGAGATTGTCAGCTAGCAAAGATATGCTTAGAAACAAGATTTTTAACATCTTTTTCGATAATTGATTTACCTGAGCTGCAATCAATTTTTAATAAGAATTTCTTATAAAGAAGATCATCTTGAAATTTTGAAATACATTTTATAATAGAAAGCATTTCTTTATTGATAGTAGAATATTTAGATTGTGTAGGATTCCATTTTCTTGGAATTAAATCTGACCAAAAATTCTTTTGATGTTTCAGGTATAACCTGTTTAAGAATTCCTCCATAGCCCAAGTCTGAAGCATCAGTTTCAAATTTTTTGAAATACTTAGGGTTAGCAAGAGATAAACAAGGCAAACATTTAACCTTATTTTTAATTCTTTGGACTGCCTGAGAATGTTCATTAGTCCAAGGGCCAGGATTTTTCCCAAGCCTATTATGTAATATGGCAGTATCTTTAGCAAGATTGTTATAATAATCTGCTATGTAATTAAGACTACCAAAAAATCTTTGTAATTGTTTCTTATCTGTAATAATATTGGGGAATTTTGAAGCAAATTCAATACTTCTTTGTATAGGAATTATTGTTCCTTGGTCAATTTCATGACCTAAAAATCTAACTTTTGTTTGAAAAAGTTTCATTTTAGGAGCAGATATGACCAATCCATTATGTTTAATTAATCCTTTAAATATTTTTAAATGTTTAACATGTTGATCTATAGTTTTAGAAAAAACTAAGACATCGTCGATATAGACAATTATAAGTTATGTATAAGGATTAAATATATCATTCATAATATTTTGAAATTCGGAAGGGGCATTTTTAAGGCCAAAAGGGAGGACATTTCATTCGTAATGTCCAAAAGGCACAGTAAAGGCTGTTTTATACTTATCAGATTCATTAATCTGAATTTGCCAATAGCGAGATTTCATATCAAACTTAGAGAAGATTAAAGCATTATTTAATCTATCTAAAAGGTATTTTTTATTAGGAATATGATATCTAATCCATCTTAACACCTTATTAAGGGGTTTGTAATTAATAACAATTCTAAGGACCCCACGCTCTTTTTCAGCAACATTATTGACATAAAAAGTTGTGCAACTCCAAGGTGATTTGGATTTTCTTACCAATTTTTTCTCTAAAAGAGATAGAATCTCTTTTTTGCATAACTCCAAATACTCATGGTTCATTTGAGCAGGCCTAGATTTGGTGGGAATTTGACTTTCATTAAAGTCATCAAGATAAGGTAAAGAAATAACATGTTTCTTTCTATCCCATAAAGCATTTGATAAATCATTGCACACTTCATTTTTGAATTGGTTCTCAATCAATTTGATTTGTTCTCTTATCTCATTTTTATTAAGTTGTTCATTAATATTTAATAAACTAACTTCCTCTTTAAGAAAACATAATTGTCTTTCTTTATTTAAGAGAATACTTTTAACTTCATTAAGCATTTTAATATAAGGATCAATAATAAATTCAAAAGTGACAGTTTTACCATTAATCATGGTAGTAATACCTTTAGTGTCAACATTAATTAAAGACATAATGCTATTTTAAAAAGGAGTTTCAAGAATAACTCTACGAGTCATGTTTTTAACTAAGATGAAATGGGTAGGTAAACAAATATCTTGATTACAAACGTATGTATTAGGTAATTTATAACTAACCGTTAATTTATCACCACTAGACTGAGCAAGGGTTTGAGTGGTTTCTGTATAAGACTTGGTAGGAACAATTCCTTCCTGTAGACAATTAAAGTCAGCACCACTATCAATAAGGGCGACTTCATTTTCTAAAATAAAAATTTTGTTAATAACTAAAGTTATTTTAACAAACCATTTTTGAGAAATTACTCTATCAATAAGAGTGAGAAATCTATCATTAGTAGAAAGACTGCTAATAGAGGATATTTCTTCAACTTTAAGGTTACCTGTTTCAAGCAAGGAGAACCTTTGAGATAATTTTTGATTATCTTTCTTTATCTGAGTAATTTCAGATTTCAAAAGATTAATTTCTCTATTTAAATCAGTAAGGGAAACAGGAGTTTCACGGGTATTGAATTGTAGAAATCTGGATAAAACCTCACTTAATTGGTAGGGTGCTTCACTAATAATAGGAGATTCTTTTTTAGAATTCTCTTTAATTAAAACTTCAAGCATTTTTCTTTTAAGGTTATTATCAGAAATAGACTCAATAGCCTTTATGGCTTCATCTCGTTCTGTAGTAAGAACATTAAGACCATTTATGTCAACAATAGACTTCCAGTAATCAATTTGATTACATTGAAAATTATTATTGTCAGAATTATCAGAGGAATAATCTGATGATGATTCGTAGATCATGTCAATATCTTCATTAGAAGAATTAGTTTCTGAGTCAGACTTGAGTAAACAAAGTTTCTCAAGTTGAGAGCGTAATTGTTCATCCTCGATCTCATTGAGAGCTTTCTTGGTCCAACATTAGTTTGCATAGTGACTAGCTTTACCACATTTGTGGCAAGATACATCAAGCATTTTAGCTTTTCTTTTGCCTTTATAAATAAAGGTCTTTTCTTTTGGTCTACTTTTATTAAAGTGACTTCTTTTCTTATTCTTCTTATAAGAATTTTTATAATTATCCTTATTTTTATGAGGTTTATTCCTGAAAAAATTTTCCCTTTTTCTTTTTATCTTCAGAGGTTTTACCAAGATCGAAGAACTGATCGCAGAATTCACCCATTTGGTGTTTTTCAAAAAGTTTTTGTTTCTTAAGCTGATTTTTAAGCTTAATATCATTACATAACGTTAATCCTTCATTAACACAAGTGCTTATAATTTGACCATAAGTAAGATCAGGATAGTTAATATTTTTCCCATCATTTTTACTTCTTAAAGAATGTCTAACCTTTTTAGAAAAGATATGGGGTAAACCATCAATAAATTTGGCTTTCCATAAGTTCTTCATGTTTAATCAAATTATTTTGATGATTATCATCATTTGAATCCATAAATATGGCAGGCTAAAGATGTTGTGGATGATTAGCTACCTTAGGTAAAACTAAGTAGGTAAATTTAACTCATAATCTTAGTACAAATATATCTAGGCAACAACTGATAAGTCATCTTTGCAAACAAAAACGTTGTTTAACTATCAACCCTACGGGATATAAGGATGTTTCCTAAATCAAAGATGTCCAATGTTTTTTAGCAAAAATTTTCTTTTTAAAATCATCTTAACACTCCCTTCACTAGGAAAAAATGATGAGTTTAAGAAAACACTAAAAACATCTTTAGTTTTGAATAAACCCTTATTACTTGTTGCCATGATTTAAATATACTAATTTTAAGAGAAGAACCTACATACTTAATTTCGTCTAAGTTATCTAACCTTCCACAACAACAAAATTTGCCAAATTGTCATTGACAAATAGTTGGATTAAGAAAAATACCTTAGTTTTGTTACCAAATGATATTTAAAATGAATTGATTATGATTATGTTAATATTTTATAGTTTCGGTTTAAAAAATGATATAGGTCAATTAAAGTAAGATTTAAAACAAATTATATACGACAATAGATAAGATTTAACCCCTCAATTATTAATTATAATCGACATACCAACCTAATATATTAGGTCGGATTTTAAATAAAACTAAGAGGTAACGTGGCACCGATGGATAAAGTCGCAAGTTTTCATGTCTCACTTCATTATATCGGTAATGTAACTGGCGTAAAAGTCATTTTGTATTTGAGGTGAGATGTGTTATTTGCAGCAATGAATGAGTAGAATACTCACACGTTTTAAACTACTCATGTTAAACCCCTCTAATACCTTCTCAATGTAATTGTGTAGAGACAACCATAATTTACCTTTCTTTATG